ACCTGTCTGGTGCCTTCAGCTTCTGAGGCTTTCTGGAGCCGGGCCTCTTAAGGGATTTCACATCACCACCTTGGTGTCTACTTTCTGTGGCCTGCTAATTCAGTTACCATTTGTCCATGAGTTTTCCAACTTCTCGAATTTTATTGCTATTTTATCCTTCTCGTTACTTTTATTTTTGTGGGTGCGTGACCTTTTCGGGAAAACCCCCCCACAACTTTTGTTGACATATTTGTAAGGTCTCAGGAGAATGTGGAATCAAATATCTATCAAATCCACCATGCCCATTTATAACTTCAGAGTATTCTGTAATAGAGGATAAACACAGTTTGATGATGCTGGAAACTGAGTTTTGAATAGGCAGAGTAGTTTTTCCAGAGGGAAATGTCTACATTTTATCAAAATAACAACAATCCTCTTAGGAATGATCAGGATCTAACCACCAAGCATTTGTCCCTAAATTACTCATGTCATTAAAATAGAACAGAGCACGGTTAATAGAATCCATCCAGGCTTGTTATAAACAGCCAGGATCTTACTTGGGGAATTTAGTCTCATTCTCCTGGAATCCAAATCTTGTACCAATTTACTCTAGGCTAGGAATGTCCTTTTGTTTTTCTCTTAAGAGGAAAAACTATGAAAATGTAATTAGACAGTTTGTTCTTGGATATTTTAGATTTGGTGGAGACAGCAAACTTTTTCTCTAGAGAGCCAGATAATAAATATATTTGACTTTGTAGGCCATAATGGTCTCTGTTTGTCATTCAAAAGCAGCCATAGTCAAGAGACAAACAACTGGCACTTCTGGGGTGCATTGTTATAGGCTGATGGCTACACAAAACCATGGATACATTTTAAATGAAGCATTTCAGAAGCCACATAACAATGTAAGAAGACAAATTATTATCTTGATTATCACTGCCATCTAACAAACATTAGTTCCTGAAAAATAATTTTCAGCTAATCGGGAATTTCCTGTTACCCAAGAGATTCCCCCACAGCTGCTAAAACACAGGTACTTTTGTAAACCATCTGTCATAAGAGGGAGCTTAAAGGCATGTTTAGCTAAAGTTAAAAATAGTGCTTCCCTGGTGGCACAGTGGTTGAGAATCCGCCTGCCGATGCAGGGGACACGGGTTCATGCAGCGGTTCGGGAAGATCCCACGTGCGGCGGAGCGGCTGGGCCTGTGGGCCATGGGCCTGCGCGTCCGTAGCCTGTGCTCCGCAACGGGAGTAGGCCCCGGCAGTGGGAGGCCCACGTACCACAAAAAAAAATAAATAAAAATAAAAAAAATAAAAATAATAGAAGATGCTTCATATTGGTATTTGTTTTCATTATTTCATCTTTCTGAGTAGCTCTATGAGATAGCATAAGGTAGTGGTCATCAAATGTTAGCATGTATAAGAATCACAGGGAGGGTTTGTTAATATACAAATCGAATCACACAGGGAAATCCTCACTCAGCACCTACTCAAGTAAATACTCTAGGATTGGGATCTGGGCCTATGAATTCTTAAAATTTCACCTTATGAGATTTCAGTATTCAATTGGATGTGAAATGAGTGGCTAGAATATACAAATGTGTTTTTTCCTTGGTGCTTTTGTAGAATAATTCTATTTTTGAAATCTTGCTTGTATCTGGCTATCAGTAAATCTGGTTATTAATCATTAGAAATGGACCTCAGAAAGGAAACTATCTCCATCTGAGAAGGTCACAAACATGGGCAACTGCTTTTGATATCAGAAGACTTTCAACCTCCACCATTCTTCTGTCTCTCATGGGTAAGGAAAGTTGATGAAGAAGTCAGTTTTCCAAGTTCCTTATTGAATGATGATGATAATAATGATGATAATTTAACAAACAAATAAATTGATGTAAAATAGTAATTTCTATTTACTAACACTCTCTCAGCCTGGATAACTAACTTTATCTACTGAAGCATTGAGTTCATTTTATAACATGTCCCATATTGGATTTAATACTGATGCTTTATATTAGATTTTTAGTTATGACATAGTTTTTCTTCTGCTGCTAATGTAACTGGGAAGATCAACAGTGATTTCAAAACAGAGTCACATTAAAAAAACATGTGCCTTGTAATACCTGTGGATTTATGGGAAATGGTAAAACAGAAGATAAAAAATTGCCGAAGACTAGACTGTGCAATTGCATAATTTTCCTTAGCTAACAGCTGTAATTCTTATTTTTTGATTACAAATATCATGTGATTTTGGGGGGAGGAATTCAGAAGCTGTAAATTATTTTCAGTGTTACTTTATAAGTTACATTTTTAAAAAATTTATTGTCTTTTATGAGCATATTCCCTTGTTCTCTTTTTTTCTTCTTAATCATTCTCTTGAATAAGTTAGGCTTTTAAATCTGTTTTCTTTGGAGTTCAGAGTTTATTCTTCAAATGTTTAAGACTTTCCTCTTTATCTTGTTTTGTCTGCTTACCTCTACTAGGATTCAAAGTTGAGTGGAAAAATACTGGACTTCCTTTGTAGGAGGTTTCTGTTTACAGGGTCCATTGCCCCCTTATCTATTTGACTTTGCTCTGACGTTCCATTTGGGAGCAGAGTTATAAAAAAAGCATGAGAACCTTCTGGAATTTCTTTCTAGAGGTTATGATGCTTTTTGATAATTCTGACTCATATTTTGACTGATAGTAGAAAAGGACCATAAGAAAATACTGCAAGCAAGTTACTTATTTATTATTTTCAATGATCACAATGATCTGGTATCCTTTAAACATCATCTGAGGGAAAACAGGGAGCCTGTTCTTGCCCAGTTTGCTACTTTTCTTACTGAAATCATGGAATCATGTAGGTGGAAGTTTGGGGAAGTCCTTCAGCATTGCAATAAGTTGAGCATTAGACACTGATTACTTTTGGATAAATATAATTTTCAAAAGCATATTTTTAATTTTAATTCTTTGTCCTGACCTCCCCCAAATCATTTGGTCTGCAGACAATAGAACTGTTAATAAACAAAAATATGAAAGCCATATAAAAGAAGGGAATATATAATGCTTTTGCAGAAAATGCAAGGCAATTTAGTACTTTGTTATAGAAAAACAATTGATAATGAGTATGCTACAGCATTATCGTTGTGTATTATACCACCAATTGTTATCCCAAGGGACAGAATCCAATTGGGAGAGAAAACCCAGCATGATTAACATCTTATGTCTCACTTTTTCCGTCTTGATCAAATGCCCCTTGTTTAATGACTGCTCAGTTGCTATGAGTTTTACTGACCTTTCCCATGTGCTTTGGAAACCCATACAAATTCCCTTTGTCACTTGCAGTTTCTTTACATAGCATTTATTTCACTCTACCCAAATATTTGCTATTTTCTTTTCCTGTTCTCACTTCTTTTTTTCACTGTCTTTTCATATAGATGAGATTACTTACTTCTTCACTATTCAGGCCATATATTTTCTACTCTGCTCCCGTTTTTGGCTGGTGTGTGCTCCCAAAGATAGGTCCTAGGTCACCAGGTTTACAAAAGGATTCCATTCTGGGTATCTGGTCCTTTTGATGACTGACTTCATAGATCTACCGACTAGTAGGGTTGAGAGTCCTTCATTGGACAGATGACAAACCTGGAAAAACTATTGTTTAAAGAGGAGAGAATTGGTCTCAGAACCAGATAATCTGGCAGAACCCCAACTGATCACTGAAAGGTTGTTTCACCAGTTCCTTACCTTTAAATGATTATAAAATCTTGTTTGTATGTTTGTTGTGAGGACTAGATGAAATAATGCTTGTAAAGCGCTTAGCACAGGTTTTGAATCACTATAGGGGATAAATATCCATTGACTCTCAAAAAAGAGAAGATTGTACTTTACTAAAGGCCACAGGCTGAAGACAATCTAGGATCTAAGGAGATTTCATCTAAGGCCTGTTTACCCAAGAGGAATAGGTTTTTTTCAATCACTCCTTTATAGAATTGCATAGAACATAGGAGTTAAGGAAAATAAAGTGTAATAGAGAAAGCGAAATGATATAAGACTTCACTTTGGGTTTCCAGCCAACTAAAAGAAATGAATGATGGAACTTCCCTGGCAGTCTAGCTGTTAAGACTCTGCACTTCCAATGCAGCGGGTAAGGGTTCGGTCCCTGGTTGGGGAACTAAGATCCCACATGCCATGGGCCATGGCCAAAAATAAATAAACAAACAAATAAATAAATAAATAAATGATGCCTTCCTGATACAGATAATAACCTGGTGCAGAAATGAATTAGAATTCTGAAAAAGGAGGCTCAACTAAGCTTATTTGCACAAAACCTCTTTCAACTAAATACAGAGGGATTGAAAACTTCTTGAGTTTTTCCAATCCTATTTGAGAGAAAACAGAAGAAGGAGTTAGAATGATTACATCAATTTATATGATTCTCATCAATAGGAAGTAACTGATTGGTTCCTGGTTAGAAAAGTATGATAGAAGCTTAGTGAGAAGAAGCCATGCCATTTCACTTTATTGTTTATAGTAGCAAAGGGCTGGAAGGAAGAGTCCAGTGTGAGCTGCCATCTTTAGGAAAACAGGCTTTAAAATGTTCAGAATAAAGAAATTCCTAGCTTGAAATTCTGAAAGATAGAATGTTTTGAGAGAAGAGATATACTTAAAAATGCTATAATTTTAACTATAATCACAGATGTTTTCAATCCTAAAATAAAGGGAGATGAATATTTTAAAAATGGTGTCTCTATAATGAAGTTATAGAAATAAAACAACATAGAAGTTAGGAGTTTAGGCTTTGGAGCCAGATTGCCTAAGTTTAAATGTCAACTGTTGCATTCACACATGGAGTGATACTGTCAAGTTACTCAACCTCTCAGAGCCTCGGTTTCCCTGCTAAGAAGTAGAAGATATACTTTTACCTACATTTTAGGATTTTGTGAGAATAAAATGAGTAAAGAACTTACCAAACTTACCAGAGTTTCATGTGTAGAAAAAAATAAATTATAGGTATCATTATTAGTTTTTTTTCCTCAACTCCATGTCCCCCTATTCATAATACAGACTAGGCAAAGGACCTGGGCTGAGGTGTACATAGAATAGATTTATTCTGCCTCCTCATTCTGTACAGTTATTATAAGCAAACAGCCTGTGTAAGCACTAAGAAGCCTCAAGGTATTATTTAAAAGGAAAAGTTATAGAATACAGATAGCAAAGAAAGTTATAAAATTACTATGTACACACTAAGATAGTCAAAAGGGAGGCATAACCCAATTGAGCAGAGTCATACAAACAATATGCTTTTCCCATTACAGCAATATGATGAACGAGAAAAAGATAAACTTAACTACGTTCAGTAATGTAACACTGCGGGATAAAAAGAAAAGTAAATGGACTCTCATTTTTCTTGAGAATTATCTGATAAGAATAATCTGCAGAAGGAAAGGGATAGGAATGAACATAAATAGAACCAAAGATAAATGAACATTGGATGAGCAAACATCTAGGATGCTTTAAACAACTAAAAGTCTTGTCTTTAGAATAAATTGTATATGATTGGATAAAGATTTTTATGAAAATGTAGAGACTGAAAAGGTTCTGGAAAACTGGAGAAAAACAAATGTCTTCCAGCATTCCAAAAGTGAAAAGAATGAATTCCACACTTAGCAGTATTATTAGTGGTAATAATAGTAATTGTGGTAGTAGTAGCAGCAACAGCAGTGGTAATAATAGCAGCTAATATTAATTGCATACTTACTATGGACTACCATAGTACATGAAATACTTAAATCGATTTTAACTTCAAAAAATTATATAAAATATGTATTATTATTCATATTCTACATATAAGAAAAATAAGCCTCAAAGAAGTTGAGTAACTTGACCAAAGTCATGAAAGTATGCAAATGTGGAGCAGAAATGGAACCCAAGCAGCTTGACTCAGGCGTCCTTGTTTTAACCCTGTTCAGTAATGAATATACTACATTTTTGAAGTGTATTTAACTTTAGTTTGCTGAGGCATTATGTTATAGATATCTAAAGTAAATAATATGTAGGCTTTATTTGAAAAACAATTTTGAGAGAAATAGAATGCATCATAACTTTTCAATCTGTCTGTTCTATTTCTTGCTAAGAAATAATAATAATATGACATTTGGTCAAGGTGACTTGACTTGCTGACCAAATATTTGCATGGTGTCTTTATTGAATTTTGTGTTGTTTTATTTTCCAGCTAGTTGCTTCATGACTCCTTGACATCTCTAACAAAAATTAATAGCATGAAAAACAGTGATAAATTGGGATTGTCCAGCACAGTACCAAAGTTGATGCTTCAGCATATTTGTTGATGGTGTAAAGACTACAGTTATAATAAAAGAGCTCCACCCATTTCTTATGTAAATTATTTGATGACACAAAGACTAGGGAGCTACTACTATATTGTTTGGAAGTTAGTGGCCTATTTTTTAAAACAATTGTTTCTCTGCTTTCCTTCTCTACTTACCTTGAAGTCAAAAGGTCGTTTCAAGGTGTTAGAAAGCCTGACTTCTATGAGTATGGAAGATTGGATATAGAATTCTAAATTGACAGTCTTTTACTTTCTGGATGTTAAAAATGCAGTTCATTAGTATCTGTTGAGAAGTATGCAATTATTTTCATGCTTATTCATTTGGAGGTAATGTGTCTTTTATCTCTGGATTCTTTAAAAATTTACTCTTTATAATAGTTTTTAGTAATTTGATAACAAGGCTCAATGGTTTTCCCTTCCTTTCTTCCTCTCTATCTCTTCCTTCCTTCTTTCTTTTTATTTATTTAATTTTCCCCTTATCTTTATTATTGACTAAGGTATAGGGTTGTAGTATGGAACATATTTTCAAACTCATTTCATATATACTTTCATTTTTGTTCTATTAATAGAGCCAAATTTGTCAATTTCACATAGTAGGTCTCCAAGGGATTGAACTGAATCAGCCTGAGAAATATTTTTCCCTACTCAGAGATACTCCTATGAAACAATTCAAAATTCCAAAGAAATATATAGGAGATTATACTATAAAAGCAAATAATAGAAGTTAAAAAGCATGTAATTACATATTTTACCTGCGCCAATTTTCTGCTGGATTTTTGAGAAAATTCAATACCTTATCTCTTGCAGAAACTCTGAATTTGACCTCTGCCATTCATCTGATTCTTCCTTCAGTAAGTTGCAAATGTCACTTTTTATCTTATGAAATTTGTACTAATGTACTAACACTTTCTTTCCCACATTTCTTTTGTTCAAAGTATAGCAATACTTTACATTAAAATCAATTTGATTAACAGAAAGAAAAAATTCTACTGAGATTTAGCCTGTATCGCTATCATTACCAAAGGCTCACTGAACTAGAATATAATATTAAAGTGCAACTTAGCATTATATGGAAAAATAATTATTATACTCAAATAAGGAATGTTTTAGATAGAGAAAATAGCTTTATTCAATAAGGAAAATTCAGTGGAAGAAGTAGAATGTACTTTAGACTTTGAAGTAAGTCAATGAAGTAATTTCTTACATTATAATTCAACTCATGGACATAGGTAGATAATATCTCTTTCAGAAATTCAAAAATTTAGGAGTTTAATTAAAAACATTTTCATTTGGGGTCATGCAGAATCTGATTATTATTTTTTTTATTCATCACATAAAGAAGGATCAAAATTTATTATCTTACTGAGTGAAAAATTATTTTGTAAAATAATTATAAATTATATCTTACTTTATAATTTGTACAATCTGCTCACACATTAAAAATATGACACTTATGAAACAATATTCTCAAGAGCAAAATATGATATCTATTATAATTGAACTATTCTCTTGACTAAATAATTGATTTTGTGGTTTCTTTCTTTCTTTAGTCATTCTTTTTCTAAAAATGTGGTTCCAGCTACAAAATTTCATATGCCAAGTTCTGGAAAGGTATCTAACACATAAGCTCATACACAGCCTTATGAAAACATCTGTTTCATACAATACGATCTGTGAAAGATATCACATTTAAAATTCTGCATTCCTGAAATCGATAAAGGAAAGGTTTGTAGAATAGAATTTCTAGCAAGAAATGATAGCATGGAAGGAGGCCCAAATTGGCTGAAATTGCTAATATAATCTAAAAATATGTACAGAGTAAGATGAACTAAAGCAAGATTAAAAGGGCAATGTTTTTATTCATTTTTTTTCTTCATACTTTTTAGAATTTTCTCATTTGTTTGAAGCAAAAGAAACTTTTTGGACCATGTCCTTTAAGGCCTGATTCACTTGCTGGTTCCTTAGGCTATAAGCGAAGGGATTCAATAAAAGGGTAACCAAGGTATTGAGCACAGCTACTCCTTTGCTTAAAGTCACTCTATCATTTGCTGATGGTTTTATGTACATGAAGATGCAGCTGCCATAAGAAATGGGAACTACAATCATGTGGGAAGAACATGTAGAAAAGTCTTCGGTCCTTAGCTGAGCAGGAGGGAGTTTGAGAACTGTCTTGATGATATAACCATAGGAGAGAATCACTAACATCAGTGTGACCATCAGTGCCTTTCTTTTTTTCTTTCTTCCTTCCTTCCTTCCCTCCTTCCTTCTTCTTTCCTTCCTTCCTTCCTTCCTTCCTTCCTCCCTCCCTCCCTCCCTCCCCACTCTCTCTCTTTCTTTTTTTCTTTCTCTTTCTTTCTTTCTTTCTTTCTTTCTTTCTTTCTTTCTTTCTTTCTTTCTTTCTTTCTTTCTCTGTGCAAGATACGTATGTACATGCACACAGACAAAATGTCTTCAGGCTTGCATAGCCATATCGTCTTTCTTTTTTCTCTGTGCATGTAGGTTTATCCTGCTTGGAGTTTGTTGAGATTCTTGGAAATGTAGGTTGATAGTTTTCATCAAATTTAGAAAACAATTGGCCATTATTTCATTAAATATTTTTCTGGCTCCCTCTTCTTTCAGGCACTTCCATTACACAGATGTTAAACAACTTAATATTGTTCTAGAAGTCACTAAGTCATTTATTTTTATTAGACTTTTCTCTCTGTATTTCATTTTGGGTGGATTCTATTACTATTTCCACTTTTAAATCTCTGCTTTTCTCCTCTTCTCTCCTCTTTTCTTCTCATTATGCTTATGCTTTTCTTTAAATAATGGAGTACTTGAATATAATTATAAAGGCTGTTTTGACATGTTTGACTGTTAATTACATCATCTCTGACGTTGTTTTAAAATGTAAGTTCTTTTATTATTCAGTTATGACAAGGCCAACGGATCAAGAGACAATTGCCATTGAAAAGATAACTTGCTATATTCACAGTCTCAAGAGGAGGAGGCATACCACTCCGTGAGGGGTCACACAGGGTCAGTCAGGAGGCAGTGAGAGTGAGGGGAAAACGTGGACACCTTTGTTGTGGTTTTTGTCGGAAATATAGGAGAGTTGGTATAAGAAGGTTTGGAGCTGGCTATTTTGAATAATTTGAGTAATGCATAAGGCTTGTCTCTAGTTGTCTGGTACCTGGCCCTGGGTTGATTAGGGCAGTGGAATAGTGGCCCTGAGTGAGAGAACCTGAGAAAGAAGTTGGTTGGGGTGTGCACTCAGGATTTGTTAGTTTGCATGTGAAAGGTGTGTTTCCAGATAAGTCCTTTACTGTCTCTAGGAATTGGCTGACCCTGGAAGGGCCAGTCCCTCCAGGGTCAGCAAGGCCCCAAGACATCAAAGCATCAAATACAGAAACTAGAAAATGTTGTTGTTACAGATATCTCTGTATCCACATTTATACGGATTGATTTTTCTCCTAGTTATGGTAGTATCTCTCTGCTTCTTGGACTGTTTAGTACTTTTTGATTAGATGTTGAATATTGTGAAATCAGACTGTTGAGGGTCTGGAACCTTTTGTGTTTCTTTAAGAGTGTGACTTTTGTTTTGGTAGGTAGTTAAATTACCTGCAGATTAGTTTTATCCCTTTGATTTGTGTTTTAAGTTTTACTAGAATGGGTCTAAATAGATGTCACTCCAATAAGGTGCTTTCAGCCCTAATACCAAGGCAGAAATTTACTTTTCTTTATGGGATCATTTTTTTCCTTATTAATGAAAATCATGAATGCTTACAATACACTAATAACTGTACTAGAACTGTGCAACAAAACATGGAGAAGGTGAGACA